CTCAAGCCTTTCCATCCTATATGTTTGTGCGCACAGGGCCTGCCCCTGACACTCTGGTACCTTCCCCCAGCTGCCTCCCTCATCATTGACTCAAAACTGAGTTTTTCTTTTATGCCTTCCTGGAAGAATTGTCAGGGCAGGTAAATTATTTTGCATTCTTCTCGATGCCTCCTGACTCCAGTCTTCACCACCTTAGCAGTTAGCCTGGGTACGGCCGGCAGCGTCGCCTGGGCCCAGCGGGAGCTTGAGCGCCTCAAGGATCGAATTTGCCAGCGGCGCCCGTCTGGGGACGGTAAAGCAGGAGCTGCTCCTCCCAGCCACCGAGCGAGCACTCGCCTTCCTCCCACCGCCCTGCCTGCCGTCGGGGCCGGCGAGGTGCGGAGCGGCGAGGGCGGCTCTGCGGTTCTGCCCGTACGTCGATTCAAGATCTCAGCGTCAGCCCTGAGCAGCAGCAGCTGCTGCCAGGACGCTTTTGTCTTCCCCGGCTCGCTCAGAAAAGCGGAAAGCCGTAGAGCCGCGGACAAAGATGAGGCGAGATTAATCATGATGACAAGACTTAAAAAAGGAGAGCATTATGACAACGCTTAGCATGGGGCGCAGAGCAGGCAGCTGGTTGACATTTGGGCATCGCAGGTTTGGGTTGGAGTGATGGTGAGGTTTGAAGCAGTTTCTGCCTTGTCACGACCTCATCAGCGCCGCGCAGCCGGGGCCTCCCACGCAGGCAGCTTCCTCCCGCGGTTCGTGTTTTGCCGAGGTCTAAGAGCAAGGAGAGCCGCTGCGAAGCCACGTTGTTCTCCGCAGGTTGTCTCGTGCTGAGTAGCAGCTGGTGTTAACCAGCACTCAGGCGCCTGTTGTTTCGGGTGGCTTGGAATCGTGTTGGCCGTCACCCTGATAAGCCCGGCCCTGTGAGAAATGAAAATGAAATCAAAACTTCCTTGATGGGTAAAGGGATGGAGGCAAAGCGAGCATGGAGAGGTAGGCGGCAGTAAAAGTGTAGCAGAGCTGGAGATGGGGGATAAGAGTTGATGGAATCATAGAATCATAGAATGTTTTGGGTGGGAAGGGACCCCCAGAGGTCACCCAGCCCAACCCCCCTGCAGGAGTAGGGACACCTTGAACCACATCAGGTTGCTCACAG